GGAGTGTCTGGAGTGGTGACAAACAGTGGAGACTCAGGGAAAAAGGGGTACCAGGACCCCCCATTCCAGGCTAGGTCCAGATGGGCACTAGGTGACCCTGGCCACACCTGCCCAGTCTGTCCTGAGGTGGGTCGGGGCACTGCTCTATAGTGGAGGTTTAGGATCTGGTCCAGGGCCACCAGCCTGTAAGCAGGCCCTTGGGGACACGACCCAGTGATCTCACCCAAAGCCAGAGCCCAGGCCTTGTGGCCTCTGCCTCCCTGGAGGTGGGTCCAGCTCAAGCAAAGGTCAGAGGTGATGATGACGAGGGGCCACAGCCTCCCTGGGAAGTACTGCCCTGAAGGAGTGAAGGGCTAAGGGAGGAGCCACAGTAGACACTGCAGCTCTGCCTGTGGTGACCCCACACCAAATGATTCCTTGGGGGCCCTTGTCTGATATGTTCCTTCCTTGTTTTCCAGGGCCTTCCAGGACCTTTGGCTATAACCTGCTCCCCTCTCCCCCCAAGGTCCCCATGCCACCTGATTCCAGCAGCAGCTCCTGGAGGTCCAAAGACCTGCAGTTCCGGGGGCGTCAGCTCAGAGCCCTGGGCCACCCGGGGCCTGGCTTGGGTCAGGGGCTGGCTGCAGTGGCTGCTCTGAGATCAGCCCTGGAGGTGGCCTCAGGCCCGAGCCCTCGAGCCCAAGGATGTCCAGGCCCAAAGCCAGCACCAGACCCAGCAGCCAGCCCACCAGCCCTGTGGTGCCTGCCACACCTGAACCCTATCACCCCAGCCCAATCCCACCCCTAGTGTAAACCCCCACCCACTGCCAACTGGCTGGGACTAAGGCCGAGGGGCCCCAGCTTGGTTGTGGAGCCTCGTGGAACCCGGAGCATCTGGGGGGAGTGGTTGGGGGTAGGAGGTGGGCCTGGCACAGGAGAGGCCCTTCTTGCTGAGAGAAATAGGGCCCAGGCCTGCCCAGCTCCCCACTTCTTCCATGGGGCCTAGCCTTCCCAGGAGTGGACAGAGGGGCAGGCCTGGGACAGTCGGGGTGGGCCCACGCCGAGGTGGCTGGGCCGGCCCTGCCCACCTCCTGGCAGCCCCGGGCCGCCCCTGGAGCAATGCGGGGGCGGGCGAGGCGTTCGCTCCAGCGGCCGGGCCTCCCAACCCCGGCGGGTCTGTAGGGCTTGGGGGCCAGTTCCCTCCTCTCGCGGCGGGGACCGGGAAACCAGAATCATTTTCGACTCCCAGGTGTACAGAAATGCAGTTTACTTCGTAGGTGACGTTGGTTCAATAAATTATGCAGCTGGCACCGCCTGCCTCCCCTGACCCTCTCCCCGCACCCGCGCTGGCACCGCGGCGGCGGCGACGCCCTAACCG